GGCCCCGCGCCAGGGATGCCAGTGTCCTCAGTGGGCACAGGCCCTGGATGAGGTCCCAGACAGCGGCCCAGGCAGGAGACCGTTTTTAAACTGGCCACTGATCTGCATCTGCCCTCCCCCAGGGAACCAGATCACCGAGCAGGGCCTGAAAGGCTTCCTGGCGGCCAGAGAGAGGCAGCAGCAGGCCAGCAAGGCCGGCCAGGGGCAACACAGGCCTGCTGCGGCTGTCTCTGGGGGTGAGTACCACACCCCTGCGTCGCGGTGGGAGCTGTGTCTGGCCTGGACCCTTGTCCAGCCCCAGCCATGCGCAGGGCGGTGTTCCCAGCGTTCCCCTCGAGCAGGGGGGCTGGAGCGGGAGCATCTCCCCCAGCGTCTCCTCTCTGCTCCCCCAACCCCCTCTCTGCCCTTTCAGAAAAACCACTTCCCCGAGGAGAGCACGACCTTTGCCAAGCTGCAGGAGCTGATGCTGCCACGTGACCCCATCCTCAGGCAGCAGCCCAAGGCGCCGGACGACGAGCTGCCTGCAGCCAGCTAGGGGCCTGGAGGGGGCCCGGAGGGGGCCCCCCCTCCAGGCCAAGTGCTTCCCGGCAGGCCAAGGCAGCCCGTCCCCTCTCTGCAGGATTCCTGACTCCTCTGGCCCAGGCCAGCCTGTCACTGTTCCACCCTGCTGTTGAATAGCTTTGGTGCAGCCAGCTCTGGGGTGGAGCATTCTCTTGTCATAGAGCCAGCCAGGCAGCTGGGCATTGCCCGGGGTGCGGGCAGGGCCCCTCGCTCACCCGGGAGGGCTCCACGCGCTGGGCTGTGGCAGTGGGCAGCTCGAAGGGAAGGTCCGTCTGGTCTCCAGCATGGAGGCCTTGACCCACCACTGAAAGTCCCAAGCGCACTGTGCTGGCTGGAGCATTGAGTCCTCCCCCGGCGCCCCCTGGTCTCCTGTCCTGCTCTCTCAGCCCGGGGGCGGGCAGGGCAGAGTATGCTGGGTGCCCGCGGAAGGGAGCTCCTGCTGGGGGCGGCTCCCAGTGCAGAGGGCTTGTTCTCGCCTGCACCGCAGCTCAGCGTAGGCCCTGTGCAGCAACGCCCCCTCCCCAGGGCGCACAGGGACTGAGGCCAGCCGCCCCTCCTCACTCGGGCCTGTTGCCCACGTCTCCCAGCCCATGGGCTGGAGCTGGGCTGATCGGGTCGTGTCCGCCAGCCCCCAGACAATCCCGCCGGGGTGCCCTGCACTTCCCCCCGCTACCTGCTTTCTCTTCCCCCAACCCACCACAGCCCCGTCTGTGCTCTGGCCATGGCACTTACCCCAGCAGCCTGGCCCCGGAGAACAGCTCCAGAGCTCTGGCTCGCTGGCTGGGAACACAACACCCAGTCTCTCCCCCGGCAGCGGGTGAAAGCAAGCACGGCCGGGCAGCGAGACCCCCCCGGTGAAGGATCACACGCACGCCAGCAAGGGAAGAATATTTCACTTTTCTTTAAAAAAAATCTTTACCAGTAAAGGGAAGAAAATAAAACCGATTATACACCATGGAACAGGGAACATCAGTCCTCTAGCTAGTCTATATACATACACGTGTATATAGGGACCGGGCCGGGGGCTGATGTCTGACAACGCAGCAGCAGCCTGAGACTAGCCAAAAGCTGATTGTGATGGGGGGGGTCTCAGTCTGGGCCCTCCCAGCTCCTCCCTCCAGCCACAGCAGCTGATGGGAGCTTTGCCGTGTCGGTCCGTGGGGCCAGCCAAGCCGAACCCAGCGCAGCCTCCGACCCCTCCGGCTGGCTGATTGTCTCTGCAGAGCCGGGTGCTGTCCTGTGGCCCCAGCCAGCAGCCCACCCTGGGGATCCTGCCGCTCTCCAGGCAGCCCTGACAGAGGAGCCTCCGCCTGACAGAGGGAGCAGTGGCAGCTGGAGGGAGAAGGCAGCAGTTCTGGCTGACCTGGGAGTGGGGAGCAGGGCCAGCTAATGCCCACAGCACATGCTGCCCCCTCACAGGGCCGGGGGAGACCCAGCAAGATGCCACAGGGACCCCAGTGGTAGGACGGGGCCGCAGGGCAGCGGGATAGTGGTGATGGCCCATGGGGTGGCAGGGAAGTCCAGGTATTTACAAGAATCCAATGCACATACATACATATTTATATCGGATCAGCAGAGCGGGCGGCCGGGCCCCACCGCGGAGAAACAGAAAGTGCATTTGACAGACTATATTCCAGCTCTCGTGTACTGGGTGGCGCTGGCCCGGGGGAGCAGAGAGGTGGAGGCAGCGGAGGGGCCTGGCCCGCCGGGGGCAGGCAGCAGGCTGGGGGACCG